TTTGCAGTTTAACCAAACAGTTGTCAGAGTGTGTCGGCTTGCCAAAGTGCCCCTGTTGCTGCAGCGTTTGGTCAGCGAGCCCCCATGTGTGAGTGGGCGGCTCACGAGGACTCATGGTGACGGCTGCACCTGCCTTCACTCCTCTTTACTGTTAGGTCACTGTGCAGACCTCAGACACCAGAAAACAGGTGAAATGATTACCAAGTGGAGATGCAAGTTAGCAGAAAGCAAATTCCAGAAGCAGGTTCCTCCCTGTACACACCGCTGCTTCTCCCCCATACCCTTCAGAAATACCCACAAAACAGTCGGTCTTCAGAGACCAGAGATGCTTATTGGCAGTTAACATTCTCCTGACTCAGCAAATTTTCTTGCAACAATGTTCTGTATTTACTCCTGAGCTTTGCCTAATTTATATTCCTTCTTTGCTCTGCTCAGCTAATCCTGGTCCATAAATTCAGCAGATAGGACCAAAGACAAAACTGTGGGAAGGATGCACTGTGTTTGTGTTATGCTGTCCCCAGCACCCTCTCTGCACAGCTCTCAGGGGAGCCCCAGGCTGTGAGCAGCATCTTGAACACTGTGGCTTTGACTTTTCCCCTTAGAGTCCTATTTGGCTCATAGTAAGCGTTCAATAAATGCTTGGATCAATGAATGTACAATTGCTCAATTAACTGGGGCATGAATACTTTCTTTCACATTTTGAAATGGCTCTGAGGGAAGTATTGGACATATTTTTAAGTGAGAGGGTAATTGACTATTAATAGTTTAAAAAGTAGGCAGATGGACAGATTTGCATAATAGTTTAACAAAGATCAAATGAAACAAAAAACTGAACTTTCCTTGGGCGGCGCCTGTGACTCAAAGGAGTAGTGTGCTGGCCCCAATATGCTGGAAGTGACAGGTTCAAACCCAGCCCTGGCCAAAAACTGCAAAAAAAAATTGAACTTTTCTAGACTTTTTAAGATTTAGCCAAAAGTCTAAAAGGACCTGGATTTCTTCTGGAGAAAACAACATTGCTCCCCTCCTGTGAGGCCCACCTGCACGCTGATACCCCATTCTGTGCAGGAAGCATGTCCTTGGAAACCCGAGTGGGAATGGCGTTTCTATGGGCTGAAACTTTCTTCTCTCAGCCTCCTGTCATTATTCACAGTGGCTCCCTTGGAATTTTTAATTGGCCTTTAAGACAGGCACTTAAAAAAACTATGCTTCCAACTCTACAAGTAAAGATCTGTAATAAAATGATTTAGATTTACAGGATCACTCTGCATATTTTTTAAAAATGTAAAAAATCTTTTTGTTGGGAAAAATTGGGGGGCACATTACATCTTTGTGATATGAATGGTCACCATCTTCTGTGTCTTTTGGGTTACTTTAACTTTATTTTAAATACTTTACACCTAGCCTTTTGCCAACAGGGATTTATAGGAGTTGTTTATTTAAAGTCAGTGTTTTCAAATATCACTGGGCCTGTGTATGTTTCTACGGTATTTCTTGGGGGGTATTTTCTTGTAAGGGCCGTAGGTAAAACTCTCACACTGCTGGGCTTTTGTTACCAATGCTTCTGACAAATGAAGTAAAGGGTCCTGTGCTTTTATGTACTTCAAGAATTTTGATTTTTTTTTTTAGATTGGGTCTTACTCTGTTGCCCAGGGTGATGGGCAGAATGTCCTCATAGCTCACTGTAACCTTTGCTCAAGCCATCCTCCTGCCTTAGCCTCCTAAGTAGCTGGGTCTACAGGCACCCACCACACCTCGCTAATTCAATAATTTTTTTTTTATTTTTTTAGAGATAGGGTCTTGCTATCTTGTCCAGGCTCCAACTCCTGGTCTCAAGCAGTCCTTCCCATTGGCCTCCCAAAGTGCTGGGATCATAGGCATGAACCACTCTGTGTGGCTAGATTTTGATTCTTGCATTTTAATTTGTATTTGGTCTTTTATACAAAATGTAGTAAATGAAGCTAATATCATACACACTCAAAGACTCTACCTGACTTCCACTTTGAAAGACAATTACAATCTATATTGATAAATATGGTGTCATAAGACCACCGAGTAAAAGTAGGCTTCCAAGCCAGAGGCAGTGGCCTGCACCTGCAATCCCATTGGGAGGCTGAGGTGGGAAAATCCCTTGAGCTCAGGAGTTGGAGGTTACAGTGAACTGTGATGTTGCAGCTGCCCTCCAGCCTGGGCAATAGAGCAAGATCCTGTCTTTAAAAAAAAAAAAAAAAGCAGCTCCTCGTGATGGTATGTGCTGGATTGCTAAAGTCACGGAACCTGGCGATCTTGAGAGCCCTTCCCAAGTGACCTCTGCACCACTGAGGAAGTCAGCAGCCTGCCACACTATGCCTCTCCTCCTCAAGTCTCCTCCCAAATGAGGGATTACTTGCTTACCTTCTATGTTTAGGTTTTCTCCTTGGCTAGTAGAATAATATACCAGCAGCAACAATTTAAAAACCTTTATGATAAGCATTCATAGAGATGTTTAAAATTATAATTAAGTGTACATGTAATCAGGGAGGGGGTCAAGGTGTGCAAATAATCCTTTTTTACTTGACTTTGAAAAAGCAAGTTAGTTTTTCATATTAATATGAATCTTTGATGTTTTAGAAATTTATAACCCCTGAATTCATAACTCAATTCAGGAGGAGTTGGAAAATTGGACAGTTTCCCTATCCGTACCCAGAAAGTGTGCGTGCAGAGTGAGAAATAACGTCACAGAGGATTTTAAAACTGTATTTATCAGGCTTAGCCTCTGGATAGGTAAATACTAATTCTACTCATTTTTATTTCTGAAATGAATAATATTCTTATAGTTTTCCTACCTTCCTTTTTAGCGAAATCAGAATTATTAGAGTTACCTCTGGGTATATAAATATTATCCACACAACAAAACTGTGAGATTTTTTAATTTTGTAAGTAGAGAATGAGGGATTTACAGCAATTACCCAGAAATACTAAGAACCAACCCTGCCTTGCCGTACTGTATCATAGTCTGCAAGAATGATGTAAGCCTTGGTACTTTTTAAGAATTTTAATAGATTTAGGGGGTACAAGTTGAATTCTGTTACGTGTATATGCTGGGCAAGGGTGGAGTCTGGTCATGTGATATACCTGTCACCCCAGCAGTGGACACTGTATCCCGCAGTAATTTTTATTCCCCCTCACCCTGAACCTCCCCCCTTCTGTGTCTCCAGCATCCATTACACTCTGTGTGCCCCTGTGTGGCTGTCCTTAGCTCCCACTGAAGTGAGAATGTGCAAGTTACCTCACTTAGGATAATGGTCTCCAGTTCCATCCAAGTTGCTGCAAAAGACATAATTTTATTCTTTCTAATTGCTGAGTAGTGCTCTGTGGTGTGAGCATACCACATTTTCATTATCCTCTTGTCAGCTGATGTGCACTTCCTGTGCTCACCCCAGGCATCGCAGTAAACATGTGAGTGCAGGTGTCTTCCTGACATGCTGATTTCCTTGCCTCTGGGTAGATACTCAGTAGTGGGATTCCAGGATCGATGATAGATCTGCTTTTAGTTCTTTGAGAAATCTCCATGCTGATCCCTATAGAGGTTGTGCTAATTTATATTCCCACAAACAGAGTAAAAATGTTCCCTTTTCACCCCATCCTCACCCATATCCATTGTTTTTTGACTTATTAATAATGACCATTCTAATTGGAATAGGATATCTCGTTATAGTGTTAATTTGTGTTGCCCTGGTGATTAGCGATGTTGAGCTTTTCTTTCATATTTTTGTTGGCCATTAGTCTATCTTCTTTTGAAAAATGCCTGTTCATATTATTTGCCCACTATTTAAGGGCGTTGTTTGGTTTTTTCTTGCTAGGTTGTTTGAATTGCTTATAGATTCTGGGCATTAGTCCTTTGATGAACACACAGTTTGTGAATATTTTCTCCCATTCTACATCTCCCATTATTTGTAACTCTTTTGATTTATGTCTTTTGTTGTGCAGAAACTTTTTAGTTTAATTAAGTCCCATTTGTCTGTTTTTTATTTTATGCATTTGCTTTTGGGGTCTTAGTCATAAATTCTTTGCCTGGGCCAATCTCCAGAGAGTTTTTCTTAGGTTTTCTTCTAGAATTTATATTGTTTCAGGTCTTACATTTAGGTCTTCAATCCATCTCGTATGAATTTTGTATATGGTGAGAGACAGGGATCCAGTTTCATTCTCCTGCAGGTGACTAACCGATCTTCCCTGCTCCATTTTTGAACAGCATGGCCCTTTTCCAATGTATGTTTTAGCTGGAGAAAGTGTTGTTGAAGATCATTTGGTTGTAGGCGTATGGTTCTATTTCTGGGTTCTCTATTCTGTCCCATTGACCCATGCACCTGTTTTTATGGCATCACATGCTGTTTGGTCACCACAGTCATGTTATATAACTTGAAGTCAGGTGCTGTGATATGATCGGTTTTGATCTTTTTGCGTAGGATTGCTTTGGCCATTCTGTAGTTTGTTTTTGAAAGACAAAAATGTGTAGAATCAAGGATACTGCTCTTGAACTTGCAGAAAGCTTTCTTTCCCTGTCATTCTGCTTCCTGGGTTGATAGTACCATGGAGCCTGGAGTCCGCTGCTGCCCAATACACATTTGTATTGCCACTTAAAATCCTGTTCTAACTCCTCACTTCACCATTTTCACCTGTTCTCTTTGGAGTTACCGGAGAGAAACCAGAGAAAGTCACTTGAGGGTGGCAGAAAACAAAGGGTTAATATTGTCATTTGTATCATGCGTGGGACAGTTCAGGTTATTTATTGTCAACCTAGAATGAACCACCCAACTGGTGCCAATTTTAATAACCTCTAATGGAACTTCTGCCCACATGTCTTTATGAAATATTCTGTAAACTACAATGGAAGTAGACCACAGACACCTGTTCTCATAAAAGAAAAGTAGAAAGAATTTCCTTGGAGGGGTACTTAACCACACCCAAAGTGACATTTGTGACTTTGCTGTCGTTTAATAAGGCAAATGCTTTTCTTTTAACAGAGGAATTCAAGGGCTCCACAGTTGTTGAACTGATGAAGAAGGAAGGTACTACACTCGGCCTGACGGTGTCGGGAGGAATAGACAAGGATGGCAAACCCAGGGTGTCCAACCTGCGGCAAGGAGGAATCGCTGCCAGGTAACTGCCTCTCAGAGAAATCTGCAGGGAAAGACTGGGTGTAATTAAGTCAAAAATTAAAGCTCCAACAGAAAAAGTCACTAATGAGTAAATGTCAGTGGTCGTCTGCTGGGCAGCACATCCCAGCAGAATCACAGCAAGATTCAGAAGCTACCCCTGGCTCTGCCTGTGGGCCAAAGTCATCAGGGAGGGTCTGCCATCTCAGGAGCATCCAAGCCCTCATGAGGGTTTAATTTTAAGTGGATCTAGTCTGCAAATGTGCCAGTGAACAGCAGATAAGCTGCAGGGAGCAGAAAAACTCTCATTATCTAAATGTGAAACAGATGACCCTCATCGTTGTGTGTGGGGAACCACCACACCGGGAGAGTGGGGACCTGACGCTGAGTTCCTAAAGTTTAGTTTGCCCCCCCTCTTCTCTACTCCTCTACTTGCGAGATTTTGCTTTTCACCAAAGAGATGGTTTTTGAAAGGACAGAGGCTGAGAGTAGGAGTTTGCACCTGCCCTTCTTTCCCTGACCTGCAAGTTACACTTGTCACTGTCAAAGGCAGAATGTTCCGGTGTAGATCAGGGGAGTTATGTGGACACCTTCTGAGTTTGCCTTAGAGAGGGGGGATGGTCAGGTGTCACTAAAAGTGAGGGACATGTACCTTGAGTCCTGGACACCCACATCCTTGCCCACATAAATTCCAGGTTAAATTTTAGAGTTCTTCACTTCATCACCTGAAATGGTGATTACTTTTGATGATCAGCCTATTCGTACAGTTTATGAGCTTCATCCAGTTGCCCGTGATGGAGGTGCTGCTGGTGACAGGCTGGTGAGGGTGTGAGCAGTACTGTCAGCTCTACTTAGCCTCTCAGGACCTCTTTCCTTGGTGGTCGCCTCCTTTATTTTATTCACATCATGGCCAGTCCATGACAGTAAGTCATCCAGTGCCTGCGGGGCTCACAGCAGGTGTCAGGGAGCTGTGGGAGGATGGCATTTCCAGTTGTCGATGCTGTGACTAAAAGTAGTGCTGTGCTAGTTTTATCGAATATTAAAAACTACCAAATGCTCATTAAGGCACTGCCATTTTACAAGGAGTAAATCAAATAATTAAAGATGAACTCCTTGCCCTTAGGGAACTTACAATCTTTGGGGGAGATAAGGTCTAACAAACATGGAAAGTTTGGGAGGAATGATGGCCTCCATGACAGTAAGAGAAGCAACATGGGACTTTCCACAAAGCACAGGCCTTGGGTGGCCATGAGTGCAGTGACCCTGAGGCAAGAGCTACATGTACGGTCCAGGCTGCCGTGCCTTGGGAAGGCTCCTCAGAGGAAAGAGGATGGGGAAGGCTGTGAGGGAGGACAGAGGATGGGAAGGCTGTGAGGGAGGACAGAGGATGGGGAAGGCTCTGAGAGGACAGAGGATGGGAAGGCTGTGAGGGAGGACAGAGGATGGGGAAGGCT